TCTTGGAGCATGTTTGTGTTCATCCTTCAAGGATAAAGGTCTTCACTGAGGACGAGGGCAGTGTTGGCTTTACTGTACTTGCCAGTGAGGACTTTTATTGTGCTTGGTTACCAAGAGAGTCCTCTGTGTTCACTGTGGAGCTCTATACAATCCTCACTGTTCCTGTCCTGATAGCTGGCTTAGTTGGTTCTTGGTTCACTGTGTACTCAGATTCCCCATGTGCTCTATCTACCCTGCCCCAGTATGCTTGTGTCCACACTGTGATGCAAAACATCCAGGAGTGGTTGGCACATCATTGTGTATGGCACAAGGATGTGGAGTTGTGCTAATGCCTGGGGTCACAATTGAGCCCTGAGAAATGAACAGACAGATGCCTAGGCAAAGGGTGCTGTAGCTAGCCCTTTCTATAGCAGACTTTTGCTTCTCAGTGACTTCATGGGACATATCCAGAAACACATCCTTGGGGAGTGGAAGGCCTAGTGGGCTCTACACACTGGCAGCCAGTTGGAAAAAAGACACAAATGTGTCTTGACAGTGTTTTGCCACACAATAAGTTGTATCAAGTCAAACAGATGTGGGAGCAAGTTATTCAGGGTTCAGGATATGGGTGTTTGGCCTCCCCTTCTCTTTTTCCTCTTTCTCTTCTCTCCCCCTCCCTCCCTCCCCCCCCTCTTCCACCTCTTCTTCCCCCCTTCTCCTGGAATCGTCACTTAGAGATTTCTGGCAGCTGATTATTCAGTAAACATCTCATCCATACCTCCCTGTTCACGGGTGCTCATGTCTTCCTCTGTGCAGCTGACTGTGGGTTGTATTTTAACAGTTGTCACACAACTTACACTTTCTTGCCTTCATCATGATATTTATAATTACTGAGGTGCCTGTAGGGACCTCGGTGAACTTTTAAAAAAAATTTACTTTTTATATTGTTTGTAAATGATGTTATTTTAACTTGATATGATTGTATTTGTGTTGAGTGCTTATGTTCAGTTCTTTTATTGTGTGTTGATTCTATCCTTGGTTTTGTCTGTAATTCTTTGCTTGCTAGCACTGAGGTAGGTAGGTGTGTGTGTGTGTGTGTGTGTTTGCATGTGTGTGTTTTGTGTGTGTGTGTTTTGTGTGTGTGTCTGTTTGTGGTGTGTTGTTTGTGTGTGTGTGTGTTTGTGTGTGTGTGTTTGTGTGTGTGTTTGTGTGTGTTTGTGTGTGTTTGTGTGTGTTTGTGTGTGTTTGTTTGTGTGTGTTTGTGTGGTGTGTTTGGTTTGTGTGTTTGTGTGTGTTTGTGTGTGTGTGTGTTCACTTTTATTGTGTGTTGATTCTATCCTTGGTTTTGTCTGTAATTCTTTGCTTGCTAGCACTGAGGTAGGTAGGTGTGTGTGTGTGTTTGTGTTTGTGTGTGTTTGTGTGTGTGTGTGTGTGTTTGTGTTTGTGTGTGTGTGTGTGTTTGTGTGTGTGTGCGTGTGTTGTTGTGCGTGTGTGTGTACTCACCTAGTTGTACTTACCTAGTTGAGGTTGCGGGGGTCGAGTCCGAGCTCCTGGCCCCGCCTCTTCACTGATCGCTACTAGGTCACTCTCCCTGAGCCGTGAGCTTTATCATACCTCTGCTTAAAGCTATGTATGGATCCCGCCTCCACTACATCGCTTCCCAAACTATTCCACTTACTGACTACTCTGTGGCTGAAGAAATACTTCCTAACATCCCTGTGATTCATCTGTGTCTTCAGCTTCCAACTGTGTCCCCTTGTTACTGTGTCCAATCTCTGGAACATCCTGTCTTTGTCCACCTTGTCAATTCCTCTCAGTATTTTGTATGTCGTTATCATGTCCCCCCTATCTCTCCTGTCCTCCAGTGTCGTCAGGTTGATTTCCCTTAACCTCTCCTCGTAGGACATACCTCTTAGCTCTGGGACTAGTTCTTGTTGCAAACCTTTGCACTTTCTCTAGTTTCTTTACGTGCTTGGCTAGGTGTGGGTTCCAAAACTGGTGCCGCATACTCCAATATGGGCCTAACGTATACGGTGTACAGGGTCCTGAATGATTCCTTATTAAGATGTCGGAATGCTGTTCTGAGGTTTGCTAGGCGCCCATATGCTGCAGCAGTTATTTTTGGTTGATGTGCGCTTCAGATGTGCCTGGTGTTATACTCACCCCAAGATCTTTTTCCTTGAGTGAGGTTTGTAGTCTCTGACCCCCTAGCTGTACTCCGTCTGCGGCCTTCTTTGCCCTTCCCCAATCTTCATGACTTTGCACTTGGTGGGATTGAACTCCAGGAGCCAATTGCTGGACCAGGTCTGCAGCCTGTCCAGATCCCTTTGTAGTTCTGCCTGGTCTTCGATCGAGTGAATTCTTCTCATCAACTTCACGTCATCTGCAAACAGGGACACCTCAGAGTCTATTCCTTCCGTCATGTCGTTCACAAATACCAGAAACAGCACTGGTCCTAGGACTGACCCCTGCGGGACCCCGCTGGTCACAGGTGCCCACTCTGACACCTCGCCACGTACCATGACTCGCTGCTGTCTTCCTGACAAGTATTCCCTGATCCATTGTAGTGCCTTCCCTGTTATCCCTGCTTGGTCCTCCAGTGTGTGTGTGTGTGTGTATGTGCACGTGGGTTCTGGGTGAGTGGGTGGCCAGTGTTGTCAATAAATCCCACTACCTATTGTTGCTGCTGCTAGTACTTCTACTAGTAGTAGTAGTACTACTGCTGCTGCTGCTGCTAGTACTGCTGCTGATAGTGCTGCTGCTGCTAGTGCTGCTGCTGCTAGTGTTGCTGCTGCTAGTGCTGCTGCTGCTAGTGCTGCTGCTGCTAGTGCTGCTGCTAGTGCTGCTGCTAGTGCTGCTGCTGCTGCTAGTGCTGCTGCTGCTAGTGCTACTGCTGAGAAAGATACATGCAGTATAATGGTTTTACTGAGAGTTTGGCCCAGACAGTAAAGGTTTATCAAGTCACAAAGAGATGTACTTGAGAGTTAATAAAGGTCACAGTGTGAGCAAAACATTGCCAGTAAAGGAGAGCTTTTTACTGCATTTGTCTTCCCATTATGTCAGTGTTTCATACCAGTTCCTTCCCTCTCGCTTTATCATTGTATTATCTGTTATAGTAGCCATTGCTTTTAGTGTTTGTTTAATTTTCAATAACAGACTTTATCCTCATCTTTCATTGATTTATTTAAGTCTTGGATTTCAAGGTCTCTGTTATTTCTTCACTTTTTATTGATATGTTATACATGTGTACTGTGTGTGCGCACGCGTTCACCTATTTGTGGTTGCAGGGGTCGATTCATAGCTCCTGGCCCTGGCTGTTTTCTGGTTGCTACTAGATCTGCACACTCCCTGCTCCATGAGCTTTATCATACCTCTTCTTGAAGCTATATATGGTTCCTGCCTCCACTACATCACTTCCCAGACTATTCTACTTCCTGACAACTCTGTGAAGAAATACTTCTAACGTCCCTGTGATTCATCTGAGTCTTCAGCTGTGTGTGTGTGTGTGTGTGTGTAAAATTCTTAGGTTTCTTGTGGTTTATTTAATTCCTTATCTTCTCATTTTGTTACACCTTGTTATTTTTTTAATATCTTTCTGGTTCTATTACCATTGTATTTCATTATTTAGTTGACTTCACATCACCTGACTATTGCCGAGTGTATAGCTTTATTTTTGAGGCATTGTTGATGGTTATTTTGACCTGAACCTCTGGTGTGTTGATAGCCAGGGGGACCTGAACCTTTGGTGTGTTGATAGCCAGAGGGACCTGAACCTTTGGTGTGTTGATAGCCAGAGGGACCTGAACCTTTGGTGTGTTGATAGCCAGGGGGACCTGAACCTCTGGTGTGTTGATAGCCAGGGTGACCTGAACCTCTGGTGTGTTGATAGCCAGGGGGACCTGAACCTCTGGTGTGTTGATAGCCAGGGGGATCTGAACCTCTGGTGTGTTGATAGCTAGGGTGACCTGAACCTCTGGTGTGTTGCTAGCCAGGGTGACCTGAACCTCTGGTATGTTGATAGCCAGGGTGACCTGAACCTCTGGTATGTTGATAGCCAGGGTGACCTGAACCTCTGGTGTGTTGATAGCCAGGGTGACCTGAACCTCTGGTATGTTGATAGCCAGGGTGACCTGAACCTCTGGTGTGTTGATAGCCATTTTGACCTGAACCTCTGGTGTGTTGGTAACCAGGGTGACCTGAACCTCTGGTTTGTTGATAGCCATTTTGACCTGAACCCCTGGCATGTTGATAGCCATTTTGACCTGAACCTCTGGTGTGTTGATAGCCAGGGTGACCTGAACCTCTGGTTTGTTGATAGCCAGGGTGACCTGAACCTCTGGTGTGTTGATAGCCAGGGTGACCTGAACCTCTGGTGTGTTGATAGCCAGGGTGACCTGAACCTCTGATATATTTGATAGCCAGGGTGACCTGAACCTCTGGTGTGTTGATACCCAGAGTGACTTAAACCTCTGGTATGTTGACAGTAATACATCATTGTTGACAGCTGTAATGACAGACACAGGATTGTTCATTGCCACTATGTTTCACTCGGTGTAGAGTTTTTATCATCTCATACAGAGATTACACTGATATAAAACTCGACACAATGTAACATCGGCCCAGTAAAAGCTTGTTCTGATTTCTTGTCACCATCTGAGCCTGTGCTAAAACTAAGCCTTGCAGTGTCATGCATATGATAGTATAAAATGATGTACTGAAAAATTCTTTATATTTTGTTTGTATTAATTCTTACTTGCATAAAGTTTTAATTTTATTATGAATTTTGTTATGTTGAGATGGCTTTGGTATTGGTAGTGTATGAAGTAAACACTGCCTTGGTTCATCTTGTGACAACCTGCTTCATGTTGTGGCAGTAGCTCCAGGTCTTGACTTCCCTGGCAGACTTTATATTATGTGTTATGCTTGTAACGACCTGCTGTGGCAGTAGCTCCGGGTCTTGACTTCCCTGGCAGACTCTATATTACCTTATCCGTGTTATTTTCTTCTTCACTTTCCTTTAGACGGGCCACCACGGTACCCGAGCTCGGCACCTACCACCAGGAGGATAGGTAAGGAGCAGTCTTCCTGCTGATACTTTAAGTTTAAACCATATAACAAGATGCCAGTGATTTCTTGTGTTATGTTCAGAGTTGTTACTTTAAAATTCCATGTGAGGCTGAGGGTAGGTTATGTCCGACAGAAGGGAACTACAGTAGGGCCCCCATATCCATGGGTCTGGTATCTGCAGTTTTAGTTATCTGGGGTTTACTGTGGCCTAAAAATAACCCTTAATTTTGCTTAATAATGGTCTGAAAGTTCAAAAGTAGTGATGGAAGTTGTTCAGAGTCTAAGATAAGTTGTGAAGTGCTTCCCATTATTGAAAAACTGAGACTTCTCCACTTGTTGTACATAATTTATCAATTAAACTTTATAACAGTTATATATAGGACTTACACTCTCTCCTCACTTAGTGATGTACTTGTTTACCAACTCCTTGGACTTATGACGGGCTCTCTGACCAGTATTAATATATAAATAATGTGTATTAGAGCTGATTTCCTCTATTCTGTTTATTTCAATATACAGTACACTACTGTATAAACATTTAAAAATATACCAGAAATGTTATAAATGTTGCAAAAGTGACATTAAAACAATATCAAAGATGGTTGACACAAACTCACTACCATTATAGTAGTATGGTCCTCACTTAGTGACGAATTTGTTTAACAAGGTGGTCTTAGGAACGGAACTCTGTCGTTAAGTGAGAGAGGCTGTTATCCAGCGTCTCCTCACTTAACGACAGAGTTCCGCTACTGTCCATAGTTTCGGTATCCACGGCAGGCCCTTGGAACATGTCCCCTGCGGATATGGGGGTCCTACTGTATATTTCAGTTGTTAAATATTGATGAAACATTGGGGAAGGTGAAGGTTATTTTATAGTATGGAGGAATAATATGTGGCAGGAGTAAGATAGAGCCAGATGAGAGTGTAAGGGGAGTGTGTGAAGCAGTTGTGTATTATTATGTATTGCAATAAGGAATAACAGTAAATCTTATATTTTTTGTGTGAATACAAATTACAAATAATTTATATAATAATAATAATAATATGTATAATAATATGAATAATAACAAAATGTATAATAATAATAATAATAATGCTAATAATAATAATATGTATAATATGAATAATAACAATACGTATAATAATAATAGCATAATACAATAATAATAATAATAGCATAATACAATAATAATAATATATGTATAATAATAATATGTATAATAATAATACATATATAATAATAATGTACTACATATAATAATTATAATAATAGACGGCTTCAAAAGGCCATCACTAGATGGCAGTGTTTACCACAACAAAAAGGGAGCGGTTGTGGCCTCCTCCACCTGTTACATAATGACATGTTTTATTCATTCTAGAGTATATATCGTGTTTCTGTGTTATTTATATTGTCTGTTATGTCATATTAGATGAGCTGTGATATATAAATAAGCCGTATGGATGATATTAGCAAAATTATTGAAGTACACAATTCCACTGGAATGGATTAATTGCATTTCAGTTAATTTAAATGAGGAAAATTGACTCTGCAAACGAGCAAATCTAGTTGCGAGCAAGGTCATGGAACGGATTAAACTCGCAAGTAGAGGTTCCACTGTATTAATGTATCCTTGACTAGTGATGTAACCTTAACCTTTCAGGGTCCGTGCCGTAGATCTACGGCTTTACGTTCAGGGTCAAAACCGTAAATCTACGCCATGAGCTCGGCTCACTCTGATAAGCTGTGAGCAGGGCCGGATTACCGCATAGGCAAACGAGGCATTTGCCTAGGGCCCCGCGCATTTGGGGGCCCCGCGGTCCAAGGAGTTCAGGGGCTCATCCAAGACTGCGCACATGGTGCAGGTGCAAAGGGGTCCCTACCTAAAAAGTTCAAGTGTTTGGAGAGTAAAATTGATTTTTAAAAATTAATCAAAACAAAAATAAATAATGAAATAAAATAAAATAAAAATAAACCTAACCATAGATGGCAACACTCAACACGCCTTTGTTTACATCAGAACAGCTGTGTTTTCCCGCTAATGGGTGAGTATGGGAGATTCCTCTCCAATTTTCTGTAGTAATTACACGTTATCTAGACTTGTACTGTGATAAATTAACTGAAGTGTTGTTGATAGACATTGATGTGTATGGATAAATGTTTGTTTTCGCCTCTAAATGTTAAGGGAAGTACCTGATAGGGTTACTTGACCAGTAAAGACGCATTTTTGGTAAAAATACTATTAAGAAAAACCTAAAAACGCAAACTGACTTCCGTTTGTAGGTTTTAAAAGCACTTTGTCCTGTCTTTAAGTCTTTATCATTTCAATAACAGATCTCAATTGATTGATGTTCTACATCACTTCCGTCGCAAATGCTTAGTTTTCAAGTTGCGACGGAAGTGATGTAGAACATCAATTAATTTACTACATATTTCCCCAGAAACACATAAGCCACATCAGAAAATCGTTGGTTGGGTGAAACTGAAAATTGTCCCTGCATTTTTTTAATTCTCATGTCCTTATCTATGGTGGTAGGCCATATATCATGCAAAACATAATGATTAGTTTAGTTATGAAAATGGTAATATAAATACCATTGTGCATTGTTCTTGGACTCAGTATGATTTCTGTTTAAGTAAATTGGAGATCAAGGAGGATGAATTAGTAAATATTCGTAGCCCAAATCACTAACCTAATCTATGGTAAAAGTTCTGTATATGACTCCTTTCTGGTAACGTTTTGAATTTTTAGATGCGCAGCCAGAGGAAAGGGGGCTACAAGGGCCATATCCCCCCAATTGACAGAAAAAAAAAATTTAATAATAATTAAAAAATTAATAATAATTGATAATGAAAAATTTGTATTTGCATGATTACAGACAGTGATACATCCTCATTATGGCATCTCGTGAACGTGATGTTGGACGTTCTTATGCGAGTGGGTCACAGAAAAGAAAGAAAATTCAAGAAGAAGAACAGAAAAAGAAAGATGTAGGAAGCTGCAGAAAGATCACAGACATGCTCACGAAAACAGTTTCTGATGTTACCAGTACAGATGAATCTGCAGATACGTCAGATCATACAGGAAGCCCTCCCTCCATTTTTTTCTCAGCCAGCATCTACTTCTTTGTGTTCCTCTCAATGTTTCAATGGACATTTCATCCACAGGATTTGTCTTAAAAGATCCTGCCTCATGGCCAAATGTAATCCCAGATTCTCTACGTAATGCTTTCATTGCAGAAAACTTCAGTCAAACTCTGAACATTGACTTTAGGAAATCAGCAAGGATTTATGATGATGGAAGTCGTCGTTGTTTAAAGTCATCTATGTTTTATAGGAAGCTTGCAAATTCAGAAACTGTGAAAAGATCATGGATGGTATACTCTGAAAGCTCAGGAAAAGTGTACTGTTCAGCATGCAAGCTATTTTCTACCAAAGAAAATACCTTCACACAGGTGTTCAATGACTGGAAAAATTCCAAGCGTTTTGAGGAACATGAAAACAGCACCACTCACAGGAGCTGTATTTTAGCCAGTGTATTTCGTGCACAGAAAAAAGGCTTATTGGATTCTCATTTGGAAAATCAAACTGAAAAGAGCGCACTTATTGGAGAAAAGTTCTAGAAAGAGTTGTTGCTGTTGTAAATTCTTAGCTCTAAGAGGACTTGCTTTCCGTGGAGAAAATGAGGTTTTTGGTTCGGAAAACAATGGCAATTTCCTAGGGATCATAGAATTGTTAGCACAATTCGATCCATTCTTAGCAAATCATGTGTCACGCCTTGGGAATGCAGGAAGAGGCACTGTATCTTACATGTCATCTACTATATGCAATGAATTTATTGAACTGATGACTAAGAAGGTCCTCAATAACATCATAGCAGCTGTGAAAACTGCAAAATACTTTGCAATAAGTGTAGATTCAACACCAGATATTTCACATACAGATCAATTGACATTCATTGTTCGCTTTGTCGACTCCAGTGGTAAGCCTGTAGAGCGCTTTATAAAATTCATTCCTCTTTCAGGCCATGATGGAGAAACAATGATGAATGTAGTACTGGATACTCTGCTTAAACATGATCTCTCTATTATGGATTGCCATGGCCAGAGCTACGACAATGCAAGTAACATGTCGGGTAAATATAATGGATTGCAAGCCCGTATCAAGCAAATCAACCCACTTGCTGAATATGTGCCCTGCTCAGCACATTCCCTTAATCTTGTTGGGTCATGTGCTGCAGAGTGTTGTGTCGCTGCAGTTTCATTTTTTGGACTTTTACAAGCACTCTAATTTTTTCTCTGCTTCAACGCATTGGTGGAGTATACTCAAGTCAACCATTCATGGAGATGTCATCAAATCATTATCAACAACAAGGTGGTCAGTGCAGCATGATGCAACACATGCTTTGAAAGACAGCTTTGCTGAAATACGTTCTGCTTTGATCCAAATAGCAGAGGATGAAGACCAGACAGCAACTACAAGAAGCGAAGCAGCCAGCTTAGCATCAAAATTGGAAGATTTTGAATTGGCCTTACTCTGTGTGCTTTGGGACTGTATACTGGAACGGTTAAATGCCACGAACAAGACACTTCAGAAATTGAAATTGAAATGGATACTTGTGCTAACTCTATGCAGGCTTAGTGGAATTTGTAAGCTCACTTTTGCAATGATGAAGATTTTGAAATGTTTGAAGAGAAAGCTAAACTGCTGGTGAAAGACTACAGTTACCGGGCTGATCATCAGCGGTCAAGGAAGAGGAAACGCAATTTTGAAGAGCCAGACAATGAAATTGTGTTGCTACCAAGGCAGAAATGTAAGACAGCTACATACTTCGTCATTCTGGATTCACTGATTACAGAATTGGTGAAAAGAAAAGAAATCTACCAGAATCTCAATGACAAGTTTGGATTTCTGTTCAAAATTACTACTATGCCAGATGCAGAATTGAGAGAAGCTGCATTAAAGTTGCAACAACAACTTCCACCAGATGTTCAGGACACATTT